AAATGCAGACATGGTTTTATGTTTACGCGGCGCGATATGAAACGCAACGCGTAAGAAGACGGTATAAGTCATTATAATCAGTAATTATGTCCCTACTGGATGCAACAAAAGCCTCGTTTGTAATGGGTTTTATTGGTTTTGTCTCATCGCGACGGGACACAGCATCACAGTATGGTAAGGGGCGTAACATTTCCGTCACACACTTGAGGTATTTGGCCAATCACAACGCACTGGATAGCTGGCCAATCAGAGCACACCTCGCTTTTCAGAACGATGAACTTTGTAAAAATCGACGCGTTTCAGAAAGGCGGGGCATAGAGGAGCAACAATAATGTACAGTATGTGGAAAATAATGTGGTTTTTTTAACCTTAAACCGCATAAACACATTGCATTACACCAAATACACAAAATAATGTTCTTTTTAGCAACGTCATATGACCCCTTTAAACAGGACACGCACACTTGCTCTCTGTTGTCTGATTTCCACCAGGACCCTTGACTTGAGTCTCAGTATTGATTATGTTGACAGGCATATCAGCTACTGAGCTGCCCACATCCCCCAAACCTGATCAATCGACTTATTGATCACAGCTGAGACAGCTTTGCGAAACCAAACCATCTGCTTGGGGTTTCATTCATTTGATAAAATTGCTGTTAAAAAAGTTAATTTATTGATTTATTTCAGATTTAATTAAATCAGTTACAAATGGTAAATTAATTCTAATTTACATTTGCAATTAAATTATAGCTACATACTGATGGGTATAATTTATGCAAACTACAATTATTTAATGTAATTCTAATTTAACTTAATTATAATAATGTGCTTCTTGTGAATAATGATTTGGCAGTTATAAATGTCCTAACATTTATTAATAAATATTATGTATTTATTTATTTTTGGATATTTAGGATGGATGTCTATCGACCAATACACAGCATTCTCAGGACAAATATTTTAGTGTAATGTTCCAGTCACCATGTTGATCTTTATTTTGCAATAATGACCAGGTGACTGGACATTATCAATCTATGTCTACGATCAGTGATGTTAATGAATGATAAAGACCAGACCAGATCTCCAATATGGCCTTGTCTCCACTTTTTTTCATCCAAAGCACTATCCATGTAGTAGCTAAAGGCAGGATGAGAAAACTACCCCATCCTCCCATCTTTCTAATCCATCCATTCATCTATCCAACACTCATTCATTCACTGATTGCATTGATTGATTTCTTTGTGTTCACTGTTGCGTTTTACTGGAGGTTACAGTCCAAAACTGCCTTGCATGCTCTTCTTCAGCTTTTCTCTTCATCAGTTTGTGATTTGCAATTTCGCCTCCATTTTCCAACCTCATTCCTCCCACCAATAACAGATGAGGGCAGAAAATCGCCCCGCTTCCTTATTTTCTCTCCGTCCATCCTTTTTCTTGCACAGCACTTTTAAGGCAGCTCCTCAGAGGGCAGCTGGTGGCCTAAATGTGCTGCTCATGAGTTTGTGCCTTAGCGAATAGTAGGGGTTGAACGACTTCTGATTTTTTAAAGTCGACTTTTATGTGATGAAAGTCGAGTCGAAAGTCGACTAGTCGCTGATGACGTCATTAATGAACAAATAAGTCTGGAGCTATGACAAACACCTTGTGCACAGCTATAGCATATGACACGGCACTGCCCACATGGCTATTGCTCCTATAACAGCTCATTTTTATCAGTTCTTTTGTCTTTGGGTCATTACATTTCTCACAGATTTCTGCTCGTTCTAAATCAGATACAGATAAAGTAGCACAGTAAAGATTACATTCATATGAATGCATTAGTGAGAGCGATTGCGTGTGTGGACTAGTCGCTGATGACGTCATTAATGAACAAATAAGTCTGGAGCTGTGACAAACACCTTGTGCATATGACGCAGCGCTGCCCACAGGGCTGTTGCTCCTATAACAGCTTTTTTATCAGTTCTTTTGTCTTTGGGTCGTTATATTTCTCACAGATTTCTGCTCATTCTAAATCAGATACAGATAAAGTAGCACAGTAAAGATTACATTCATATGAATGCATTAGTGAGAGCGATTGCGTGTGTGAATTAATTCTAGGCTACCTGGCAGCGTTTCTCTACTAGTAGTGAAGCTGTGGGATTTAG